GGTGGTGGCGGGGGGGAATTTTCTTTGCCGGCTTCTTGCATTTTCTCTTCATCTCCAGAGCCTAAGCCCGTATCCCATGGTGACCCGACCCTGGAGCCCCAGATCTCCCTGCTGCTCCCCCCCCCCCGGAGAAATCTTATCTCGCCCCCGCCCTGACCGTCACCCCTCTACATCCCTCTTCCCCCTAATCCTTCTCTCCAACACCCACTGGGAAAAAAACTGCGGGCCGAGGACACCCCACCCTCGCCGGAGGCTGCGGCCCCCAGGGCAAAGCTTCGGGAAGACCAGCCGAAAATCAAGAGAGAACCACCCCCCTTTCTTGCAGAAAGGGCCCCAGACTCCAGCGAAAGGGCCCCGACTGCTGAGAAGCCCCTCCCGCCCTTGCCTCATCTTTCCGTCTTCCCTGCCTGCCACGTCTCCTTTCCTTTCTAGCAAGGTCGGTCCTGGCTCGGTAACCCCTCACCCGCGTCTCTTTTCCTCTTTCTGCCCTTCACCTACCGCCCCCAACCCCAGCTCCTAATTCACCCTCTTCAGAAGCAGAGTGTGGAACCCTCATCCATTTCCAGCTGACAGCAGAGCCTGGTCTGTGAGTCCTTGACACCCACACACCCTCTTCCACCACCGCGGGGAACATCAGAGCTCTCCGGGGGAGGGGGAAGGGGGCGGGCAGCCTGACAGGCGTGGCTGGACTCCCTCCCTCGCGTCCCCAAGCCAGGATGGGACCCAGCGCAGGCACTTACCTGGCTTCTCCCTGGTCACCGAATGCAGTGGCGCCGTCTCTCACACCCACAGACGTGCCTTTCCAAGCCTGAGCACGCTCACGGGGTCAGCGGGGTGGGTGGGCACAGCAGGCTGAGGTCACACGGAGGGTGGGAGGTCCCTGTGAGGTGCGGGAAAGGGCTGTGTTTTGAACACCTTACAGCGCCAGAGCCCGCACGGGACTTCGCTTCTGCAAGAACTGGACGTGCACACAGTAGGCTCTCGAGAAATGCTGAGTCCACCCCTGAACAAAGCCTCATTCCCAATTCAGGCGGGGGAGGGGAGCTTTGGGAGGTAAAAGGAGCAGCAGCAGAAAGGGTAGTGTCAAGTCACCCGAGCTCTGGGAGCAGCCCAGGGAGGGGCTGGGCCCAGGAACGCCTTGGGCAGAGAAGCACCCAGAGTGCTGAGGCTGCCTTGGCAAGCAAGAAGAACCCAGCCTCAGAGTGTGGCTGAGGGGCTTCTCCTGAGGGGCTCCTCCTGCAGAAGCACAGTCCTCAGCCCTTCCTAGACTTTGGACTCAAGCACTCTCCCAGGCAGCCTTTAAGACAATCAGGGCTGCTAGCCACTGCAGCTAGGAAAGAAAATCCCCAAAAGTCCAGATCCCATCTGCCCACAGAGCTGTTGGGGGGCCCAGGTTGTGTTATCTATTTTGGGGGAGACACTTAATGAAGGGGCCCACCCAACAGGGGAAGTGTGGAAGTGTGGGAATGAAAGCTAGGACTAGCACAGGAGCTTCTCAAAGGCCAGGCTTTCTTAGGACCACCTTTCCTCCCCCCTCCCACCCTCAGGAAAGCAAAATCTCCAAACTTACAAAAGTACAGTGCTAAAGGATTTCTCCCCTGAGCGTCCCAGGACACACATTCCCAGCAGCCACCTACCAACACGCACACACGTGCACACACACACACACCAGGACGGCCCTGCTCTTACCTCACTAAAGTCCCCTCTCCTTGTCCCCTGTGTGTTCATGGTGGCCCCCACCCCTCATCAAAGCTTGGTGGTGGAGGGTAACAAGCAGCAGTGGCTACTGGAGCTGAGCCATGCCCCAGGCCGAGGCGGAAGAGGGGATAGGGCTCCGGGCAGCCCAGCCTGTACTGACCTTGACAGGAGCTCCACGCCTGCTAATGGGCAGGGATTTAGGCCGAGAGGGTCAGCAGAAGAAAGTACCTGGTGACAGGCAAGGAGACACAAATGGCAGGAAGCCCACACTCAGCCTATGCAATGGCAGGGTGAGGTTGGAGGACTGGACTCAGTAACAGGGGGTGAAGATCCTGGAGTGGAGGAAGAAGAGTCCAGTTATTTGGGTCCCTGGTAGCAGGGAAGGGAGGGAAAACTGACCAGAGAGGAACCAGGGTGGTCATGAAAGCCCACACCAGCTACCCAGCCTGCCCAGCTGGCCCGGCAGCTGGAAGAGTCTTAGGCTCAGAGCCTGCCCATGTGGGTGGCTGTCTCTGCCGCAGGAGGCACCTAACCAGTGGGCTATGCTTCAGGGACACAGGCTGGCTAAGGGCACTTGGTGTTCCTCCTATGCCAGCCCACTGATCTGCCCCTTTGCCCCCACCCCTACCCGTTGCTTGTTAAAGCTGGTGAACAAGCCAGCGACCCTGCCTGTCTCCTCTCCTGTCTCCCAAAGGGACCTTTGGCCTCTTCTGCCCTTCACCCCACTTCCAGGGACGTCTGTCCTCCTCCTTGCTTCCCAGTCCAGAGCCCTTCCACTCCTCTTCCCTTCTTCAGCTCCTCTAACCTTTCCTGAGTGAACGCTGCCCCCACCCCGCAACCAGGGCAGCTATGCCAACACCTGGGGCCCACCACCTTTCCTCTCCCTGGCACATCTGGGACCCCAGAGGTCCCCCACTGAAAAGGGTTTGGCACTTGGTCTGGAAAGAGAAGAGGATCCAATGAGTCTCCAGGGCCACCCCCTCCCTGCTGCGAGGCAGGGGCTGTCTCTACCCAAGCCCCTGCAGACCCATCAGGAAGGGTTAACCGCTTCCGAGCAGGACAGCAAAGAGAGGGAGATGCCGAGAGGAAAACATCCAGGGCCAGAGAGAACACGCCGCACACCCCTCCCCCACCGCGTACAACCAGACTGACAGCCGGGACAGACTGGCTGCT